GCCCCAAAAAACGTGAAAGGCCTAGACCCTCGATCTCAGAGCATCGAACGTCGACGACGACGACGTAGATCCTCGATCTCAGAGCATCGAACGACGACGACGACGACGACGACGACGACGACGAGCGGGAGCGTCCGAGAGCCTCGGAGAGCGACGAGCGGCGGACGACGGGCGGAGCCGGCGGGGGGCGGAGCCGGCGCGGCGGGGCCGGCGCCGCGAGCGTCCTGCGCGTCCAGGAAGCTGAAGCTGGCCCGCGAGTCGGGGACCTGGCCGCGCTGGGTCGGGGGCGCGCAAGCACGGATTGGCGACGCATGGACTTGGCGCGCGGTGGCCACATCTGAAGGGGCCCTGGGACACACAAATAAATAGGCACAAGTGAAAAGATGCCCCATATTTTCTCATGTTTTCTATGTTTTTGTATCCCCCCCCTTCCCATATTTGCCTACATTTTCTTGGGAATCGACGATTCATTGTGTCTGTGTGTTTTTTCCCTCCTGAACATCCACGGGTCGGGGAAGAGGTGTCCTCCCCAAAGATTTGCTGCCGGTGCCGCCTCGGTCGGCGGCTGGAATCCGCGATGTCCCATGGAAGCGGGGCCCGTCGCTGATCCACGCCCCCTGGATCCATGCTTGCAATCGCCATGGGCGGAGCGCACCCGTGAAATACTGGTGAAGTGGGCCACTTCGATTACACTCTCCCCGCACCCCCCAGCCTTAAGGCACGAACGAACGCCAAATCCGTGCGCACGCCGCGTGGGCGCCCGCACGCGCCCGTTTGGGCGTGGCGGTGGAGCCCGTAGCCTCGAAGCGGGAATCACATCTGGTGTTATCTGGAGAGAACATGCAATGCGAGATGAACAAAAAATTAGGAAAGGAGGGAGGGAGTGAGGGATCCTTGATGTCGGTGTCGGCGCAAAGCTCGGTATGCTTGTGTATGTGTGTCTGTGTGGCAGGGCTATGGGGGGGGGCAGGGGTCCCCAACCCTCCCCTCCTTCCTCTACCTCCTGGTCCCTCGCTGCCTGCCTCCCTCCTCCCTCCCTGCCTCCTCCCTCCCTCGTCACCGCTTCCCCAGGCACCAACGAGCCAGCTCCCTCTTCCCTCCCTCCCTCCCTCCCTCCCTCCCTCTTCCCTCCCTCCCTCCCTCCTCCTCCTCCTCCTCCTCTTCTTATTTTTCTTCTTCTTCTTCTTCTTCTTCTTCTTATTATTCTTTTTCTTATTCTTCTTCTTCTTCTTCTTATTCTTCTTCTTCTTCTTCTTCTTCTTCTTCTTCTTATTATTATTATTCTTCTTCTTCTTATTATTATTATTCTTATTATTATTATTATTCTTATTATTCTTCTTATTATTCGTATTATTCTTCTTATTCTTCTTCTTCTGATTCTTCTTCTTCTTATTATTATTATTCTTCTTATTAGTCTTCTTCTTATTATTCTTATTATTCTTCTTCTTCTTCTTATTAGTATGATTCTTCTTATTATTCTTCTTCGGATTATTATTATTCTTCTTCGTCTTCTTCTTCTTATTATTCTTCTTATTATTCTTCTTATTCTTCTTATTATTATTCGTATTATTCTTCTTATTATTCGTCTTATTATTCTTTTTCTTATTCTTCTTATTATTCTTCTTATTATTCTTCTTATTCTTCTTCTTATTATTATTATTCTTCTTCGTATTCTTATTATTATTATTATTATTATTATTCTTATTATTCTTCTTATTCTTCTTATTATTATTCTTCTTATTCTTATTATTATTCTTCTTCTTCTTCTCCTCCTCCTCCTCCTCCTCCTCCTCCTCCTCCTCCTCCTCCTCCTCCTCCTCCTCCTCCTCCTCCTCCTCCTCCTCCTCCTCCTCCTCCTCCTCCTCCTCCTCCTCCCTCCTCCTCCTCCTCCCTCCTCCTCCTCCTCCCCTCCTCCTCCTCCTCCTCCTCCTCCTCCTCCTCCTCCTCCCCCTCCTCCTCCTCCTCCTCCTCCTCCCCCTCCTCCCCCCTCCTCCCCCTCCCTCCCTCCCTCCCTCCCTCCCTCCCTCTCTCTCCTCCCTCCCTCCCTCCCTCCCTCCCCTCCCCGTCCCGTCCCCGTCCCCGTCCTCCTCCCCTCCTCCTCCTCCTCCTCCTCCTCATCCTCCTCCTCCTCCTCCTCCTCCTCCTCCTCCTCCTCCTCCTCCTGTGGGCACTGTGGGTACATAGAGGCGGAGTCACACACTGTGCAACTACACCTGGGGCACTGGCCCAGGAAACAGTTACAGTCGAGAACAAAACTCCCCCAACGCTGAGCCGCTGACCTGTTGGACGAGATGAATTCGACAAGTGGTAGAGGGTAGCCTGCTTGCAAGTAGGGCACGCTTCTCTTTGCTCTTGCTAGGCTCACACTGTGACCTCAGCTTTAAGGCCTTCTGGGTCCCGAATTTTCCGCAGCGGGAACATAACAAAACAGGGAACCCAGACTCAACCACGTACGCCAGCTGAAGGGCGTGTCCACAGTGGCCAGGTTCCTTAAGAACCTCCAAGAGGGAAGGGTTGAGGCCTATGCATGGGGTCTTTGTGAGCGGTGAGACCGATCTCAGACATACAGCGCATCGCCAATGATATATGTGCCAGTGAGGGATGTGCGGGGCGGTCGGAGGCCTCTTCGCGCGGGGGCCCACAAATCCCTTGTCAAGCACACCGAACAGGTCAGCGGGGGGGGGCCATAGGGCAAGGACTTTCCCTACTCCCAAGAATAATTCTCGATATAGTTTAAATGAACGCAATACGGTATCGGAAAAAACGGGGCTGAAGTCATGAGAACGAGCGCCCTGGCCAGCCAGCCAGTCAGCAGCCTTATTTCCCAGGATGACCATTTTTTCCGCCTCTGTCGTTGCAGAGGTCTCGTCCAGATGCGCCTTCACTTTGTGGAGGGTCACCCATTCACCAAAAACAAGACTCGCGGCTACCTCGCGCCAGAAATGAGCAGCGTCACACTTGGCCGCCAGCACAGTGTCTGGCGACCCTTGGGCCCTCAAGAGGGCCGCAAAGTCAACCCCGAGGGCGGACCTGGGGCCCACGTTATCTTCACTGTCAATGTGCAGGTGGGCCATCATGACCCCGATCTGCTCGCCTACTCTGCTGCTCTGGCCAAATAACTTGGGCACATGCCCATATATTTCCCTACCTAGGCTCTGCCTAGAATGGTTCTTACTCTCTTAGCTTAAAGGGGCCGGACAGTGCAAAGCGCCCTGAGCGGTTCCCCCAGTCCCCTGGGAGCGGTTCCCCCCAGTCCCCTGGGAGCTTTAGCTTTAGCTTTAGCTTTAGCTTTAGCTTTAGCTTTAGCTTAGCTTCAGCTTAGCTTTAGCTTAGCTGTAGCTTAGCTTTAGCTTAGCGATTCGCTTAGCTTTTCGCTTAGCGTTTAGCTTAGCTGTAGCTTAGCTTTAGCTTAGCTTGAGCTTAGCTTGAGCTTAGCTTGAGCTTAGCTGTAGCTTAGATGTAGCTTAACGTTAGCTTAGCTTTAGCTTAGATTTAGCTTAGCTTTAGCTTAGCTGTAGCTTAGATGTAGCTTAGCTGTAGCTTAGCTTTAGCTTAGCTGTTGCTCAGCTTTAGCTTAGCTTTAGCTTAGCTTTAGCTTAGCGTTAGCTTAGCTTTAGCTTAGCTTTAGCTTAACTTTAGCTTAGCTGTGGCTTAGCTTTAGCTTAGCTTTAGCTTAGCGTTACTGATACTACTAATGCTGCTTTCCTAGGGGTTCCAACTCCTAGGTAGGGTCGCACTGGGATAATCCTTTAATTAGGTTCCCCTGAGCGTCAATCGAAGCAACCCCCCACCCCGCTCTCGCCAGGTACCCCATGTTCGGCCTCAGGCAGGAACCATCGCTATAAAGTTTGTCGCCAGGGGCGAAGGCGAATGGTTGGTTCGACCTTCTGGCCTCCCTGGTAGAACGTGACATGCCAGTCCTGGGAGGGTGGTGTGGCTTCATGACGCGCCATCCAGCCTCTCGTGAACAACAAATTGTTCTCTCCTGCCTCCAGTGCTTGTTGCACCGTGGACTCCGACCTTCTCCTCCTCCTCCTCCTCCTCCTCCTCCTCCTCCCCCTCCCTCCCTCCCTCCCTCCCTGCCTCCCTCCCTCCCTCCCTCCCCTGCCCACCCCCACGGGGGAGAAGAGCAATGGGAGACACCTACACCGACTCTGGCTTAGATCACCCACGGCACAGAATAGTACGACTTCCTGGCTTGAGCAGGAATGTATACACCCGGAGGTCCGGGGTTGCGAAAAATCTGCAACATCGCGAACAATCACAACTGTAGCTATCTTTCTTGAGCATTCTCCGAGCCGGATCGATCTGTGACGGATGGCCCCAGAGCCGACAACACGGCCACGCCTCCCGTTGTGCGAAACAAGTGCGGCTCCTGGATCTCAGGGCATGTGACAGAATAAAGGCCTCCCCCATGGGGTCAAAGCAGGTCTGGAGGCCAGAAAATCCACCCCCAGAATAATCACCCCGACACGCGAAGCAAATTAATAAACGTCAATTGTCGGGTCCGGGCGGTTTTCCTCACTTCAAGGTGGGATCGGGGGGGTCGCACCTCATCGGCCATGCATGGGCGATGCATCACCGACGTCTGCGTGGAGAAAATCGGGCTCCACATCGAGCCGCATCGCCGATGCATAGGCAATGCGGCGCGATCCTCCGAACCTATGAGAAGGATGCAGCTAACTGTCACAGAAGCTTTCTGTCGTCCTCATGGCGCCCAATAACGCGCTCAATCGTGCGCAACGCCGACATTGCATCTCCTTCGCCCTGAGCTACTCGGCGCTTGCGTTCGCTCTTGAACGATGCTTCACCACTACTCGGCGCTACCACGCGCTATATGCCGCTATTGAGCGCTGATGGCCGCTATATTCGCCGATGTACCCTCAATCAAAGATGAACGGAGGCTTTCGTGACTTACTATCTACGCTTGGCGGTGGAAAGATAGCGTGCACCATCAATCCCCGAAAAGCACGTTACCCCTACTAAGGCAATCCCCCGCGAGGGCCCCCTTCTGTACACGCCTTCGCTGCCAGGGCTTCTTCTGTGTAGGCTATTCCTAAGGTGCGGGATAGCACGCAATACAGTCGAGGCGTTGACCTAAGGAACCCTAAATAAGGAACGAGGCCCCTATTTTCCATAAAAAAACTTCGATTTCGCATCGAAAACCTAAGGAAAATCTACTAGGGCAGGCTGCGAAACAGCTAAGGAACACGGAGCCCCTCCCCAACGAAAAGGGTTCCTTCTTCAGGGCCCCGACTGTAAGCGGGCTGGCGGCGCCACGTCGAGAGAAGCGACACGCTGCATCACCGGAAACATTCGGAGGTCCGCGCGGACTTTCTGGGATCGGCACTGGACCCCTCTGCCGTGCGCGGAGCGAGCGGCCGGTGGCGCCGGAGGCGCCGCCCAGGGGGGCCGAGAGCATGCCCAAGAAACTCGCGCGCGGATTTTTGCGAACGTAAGTTCACGCGACTCTTCCTTCGAACAGCGCACGCTACCTCTCCGACGCCAACATCCGAGGGGAGCTGCTGCTCTCCAAAGAGAAGGCCAGCTCGCATTGGAGGCCTGGAAATGGGCACCAACACCAACACAGAGGGGTGCCTCAGCAGGGGGAAGATGATCCTAGATTTCGGTGTTGGTCCTCCGAAGGGAGCTCCCGCGGGGCGCGCACGGGCGTGTGAGTCCAGCGCCTCGCCGCCCTGGCAGCCCCAGGTGCCCCGAGTGTCCCCTGCCCCTCCCGCGTCGTCGTGCGTTAGGGAGCCCACAAAGGCCGTACGCGCCCAGCTATGTACATGACCACGGCCCCTTGACGCGCGAGACCGGCCGCGTGATACGAGCATTCGCGCCATGCGAGCTCTCGAAACCAGCGCGGATTCATGTACGTGTACGTCCTTCTTTCGCGCCTGATTCGTTCCCCCCCCCCCCCCCGGTGCTCCTGTCGTCGTCGTCGCCGTCGCCGTCGCCGTCGCCGTCGTCCTCTTCCGAAGCTGGGAGGCCCGAAAAGCGGGTGCGCTCCGAGGAGAGCCGCCGCGGGGAGGCGGCGCGGGGCAGCCCCCGCCTTCAGCTCGCTGCGCGTGGGCGACCGGGTGCCCGGGCGCTCGGCCTCCTTGGCGCCCTCGGGCCCATGCCGCTCGGCCTCCTTGGCGGCCGCAAGCTCCTCCCGCTCGGCCGCCTCGTCGTCCTCGGGCTTTTCCCGCGCGGAGTCCTCGGCCTGGGGAAGGGGGAAGAAGAACACGTGGGAAGGGAGGATGGACGGAGAGGACTAAGCATTTGAATATGGCGAGAATGATGCCGTCGTCGATGGTGATGATGATGATAATGATGATGGTGTTGATGATGATGTGAATGCGAATGATGACGATGACGATGACGGTGACGATGACGGTGACGATGGTGACGATTATGATGGTTGCGATGTTGATGATGACGGTGGTGATGATGATGATGACGGTGATGATGATGATGATGATGATGATGATGATGATGATGATGATGATGATGATGATGATGATGATGATGGGTGCGGTGGCCACGACGCCGACGACGGCGGCGATCAATTACTGAGGATGCTGACGGTGGCGGCGATGCCATGATGATGGAAAGCATGGCGATGATGGTGATGATGACGACCGAATTTTTCTTGCGCACGAAGTCATCAACGGATGGACCTCCGAAAATCTGCGTTGCGACAACCCGGGCGCAATTGGGAGGGCGGCCCCGTTACGACAGACTCTGCCTGCACAGGTCCAGGGGAGGAGGAGGAGGACGAAGAAAAAGAGGAGGGATGAAGATGAGGGACAGAGAAACACAAACATCAACTGCACAACTGACGAGAGGCGGACGCAAACCAGATATCGATGGCACTCAGATCCGCGGAAAGTTGCTCGCGGACTAACATCCTCTCTCTCTTTCTCTCTCTCTCTCTCTCTCTCTCCTGGCATACCCTGCCAAGCAGCATCCTCAGGAAACCGTTGCACATATCGATTTAGTTCATCTCACAGGTGTCGCTGTGTGAGCACTTGCAGCGCCAGCTTCAACCAGATCCTGCTCGAGGACGGACACAAATCAGCGACGTGGAGGAGCGCTCAGGCATGGGCTGCGCTTCCATCAGCACGAGCAGCATTATCATCAGCAGCATGAGCAGCAGAAAAGTAGGATGACCATGAAGACGACCGGGAACTCCGAGCGCATGGTCGGGATCGAAAGAACCTTCAGGTAGACCAACACCTCTAGCAGGCTGAAGAAGAGCGGCGCCAGAAAGATGCGGCGCAAACGCCCCGCATGAAGAGTATCACGTTGAAGTGGAAGGTGCGGAACTCCACGTGTACCATTCCGAGGTCTCTTGTGACGCGTAGCACCACCGCCGTTACGACGACAAGCTCGAAATCAAAAGGCGAAGAAAGGGGCCACCATCACCATCATGAGGCTCTCCAGGAGACGAACCATCTGCGCGCCGCCGAAAGCAAGGACGATCGCGAAACCAAAAGCAGAGCTTCAACTTACCGCAGAAAAACCCTCGGTCGACCACAAATGCTGTGTCCACCAGCGAAGCCAAAAACAGTTCGCGAGAAAACACTGACGTCCGAGGGCCATTCGGATCCAGCACAACCTTGAGCTTGCCACGATCGTGATCAGCGGCACTGTACGAGACGTGTGCAGGAATGGCAAGCTGCTCGCGAAGCCATCGGAGGCAACGGAAGCAACATGGCAGAAGAGGCAACGAGTGCGGCGCCGCGGTCCGCGCACGTGGTCAGGGAAAGCCACGGGGGTAAGCTTGCGCTTGAGCCAATCAGGCGATGAGGATGAGGATGATGAGGAGGTTGATGGTGATGATGGTGATAATCATGATGTTGATGACGACGACGATGACGATGTTGATGATGATGATGATGATGATGATGATGCTGGTGATGGTGAGGATGCTGAGGATGATAATGATGCCGATGATGATGTTGATGCTAGTGCTGTTGCTGGTGATGATGATGCTGATGCGGATGCACATGCGGATGAAGATGATGATGCTGAGGATGATGATGATGATGGTGATGATGATGATGATGACGATGACAATGACGAACACGATGATGATGATGATGATGATGACGCTGATGCGCATGGTGACGATGATGAAGATGATGGCGATGAGGATGGTGAGGATGAGGATGCGCATGACGATGGTGATGTCGCTGCTGATGATGACTGTAAGGGTCATGACACTAACGATGCGAATGATGATGATGATGATGATGCGATGATGATAATGATGGACGACGCTGGTGAAGCTGATGACGATGATGATGATGACAACACTGATGAAGGTGGTGATGATGAGGATGATGATGTCGATGCGAAGGATGGTCTTAGGACGAGAATTATTATGATGAGCATGGTTCTAACTATGATGCCGCTGCTGATGATGACGATGAGTATGACGCTCATAATGATGATGATGATGATGATGATGATGATGATGATGATGATGGTGATGCCGATGACGACGACGATGGTGACGATGCTAATGCTAGGATGAGGATGAAGATGAGGATGAGAATGGTGATGATTATACCGACAACGATGACGCTGACGATGACGATGATGAGGACGACCAGGAAGATGAGGGTGAGGATGTGGATGATAATGATGATGACGATGATGGTGATGAAGTTAATGAGGATGGGGATGATGCGAAACGCTGCTGATGATGATGGTAGGGATGATCACGCCGACAATGATGATGCTGATGATGATGACGCTAATGATGATGATGATGATGATGATGATGATGCTGATGATGATGATGACAGAGATGACAGATGATGTTGATGTAAATGATGATGTGAAGATGAGGGTAAGTACAATGATTATGGTAATGGTGATGATGATGGTGGTTATGATGATATTGATGGTGATGAAAGTATGATGATGCTGTTGAGTTGATAATGATGACGACGACGGTGATGATGATGCTGTGATGACGAGTGTGAGGATGAGAATAAGGATGATGAGAAAGACGATATGGATGAGGATGTTGATGATGATGACGATGGCCACAACGACGATGCCGATGACGATGATGATGATGATGAGGACGAGGAGGAGGATGACGATGACGACGAGGATGAGAATGGGGATGATGCTGCTGCTGGTGGTGTTGGTTGTGATGATGACGATGACGATGACGATGACGATGCTGATGATAATGACGATGGTGATAATGCTGATGATGATGATGACGATGATGATGATGATGATGATGATGATCCTGATGGTGATGATGATGATGATGCTGATGCTGATGATGACGATGGTGATGATGCTGATGATGATGAGGAGGAGGAGGGCCAGTGTAGACCCACCACGCATCAAAAATGGTATCATGAAATCTCCCTCGGCGCCCCCCCACCCCTCGGACCCCTCCCGCTCGGCCTCCTCGGCGCCCTCGGACCCCTCCCGCTCGGAGCCCGCGGCCGCCGCGCCGCGGCCGCCCGCGCCCTCGCCCGACATGGCCCGGGCGGGCGGGGGAGGCGCGGAGGGGGGCGGCGCCTCGGGGGGCCCCAGGCCGCACGCTAGGGGGCGAGCGAGCGCGCGGACGAGGCACGCCCAGGCCGGCGGCGGGCGAGGAGGGAGGGCCCACGGAGGCCACAGCGAGAAGGCAGAGAGTGAGGACAAGAAAGGCCACGATGAGACCAGACGCGTCAAACAGCGGCGCTCTTGAGAGCAGACACTGCAGGGGAGCAGACCCAGAGACAGTGGGGAGGAGGAGCAGCAGCAGCAGCAGGGGGAAGAGAAGAAGGCCCTCCTTACTCTCTACTTCCACGTCCGAACCCTCCTCCTCCTCCTCGTCCTCGTCCTATTCATCTTCCTCCTTCCTCCCGCTTCCTTCACCTCGCCCTCTCAAAGCCATCCCGAGAAACCTGTCCTAGGGCGCGCTCTGACCAGAGAGCACCTCGAGGCGAAGCCAACAGTGGCGACGAGGGCGCCCAAACAAGCCCAAGCGTGAAGA